TGTTACAATACATAACTAGCAAAAAGTAAACTTGAGTTATAGTAAGTTAGTTTTGAGCGTGATGTGCAGACAATTCTAGCCTCTGTCTCATGTGGAGGTTAATGTGCAGACAATTCTAGCCTCTGTCTCATGTGGAGGTTAATGTGCAGACAATTCTAGCCTCTGTCTCATGTGGAGGTTAATGTGCAGACAATTCTAGCCTCTGTCTCATGTGGAGGTTAATGTGCAGACAATTCTAGCCTCTGTCTCATGTGGAGGTTAATGTGCAGACAATTCTAGCCTCTGTCTCATGTGGAGGTTAATGTGCAGACAATTCTAGCCTCTGTCTCATGTGGAGGTTAATGTGCAGACAATTCTAGCCTCTGTCTCATGTGGAGGTTAATGTGCAGACAATTCTAGCCTCTGTCTCATGTGGAGGTTAATGTGCAGACAATTCTAGCCTCTGTCTCATGTGGAGGTTAATGTGCAGACAATTCTAGCCTCTGTCTCATGTGGAGGTTAATGTGCAGACAATTCTAGCCTCTGTCTCATGTGGAGGTTAATGTGCAGACAATTCTAGCCTCTGTCTCATGTGGAGGTTAATGTGCAGACAATTCTAGCCTCTGTCTCATGTGGAGGTTAATGTGCAGACAATTCTAGCCTCTGTCTCATGTGGAGGTTAATGTGCAGACAATTCTAGCCTCTGTCTCATGTGGAGGTTAATGTGCAGACAATTCTAGCCTCTGTCTCATGTGGAGGTTAATGTGCAGACAATTCTAGCCTCTGTCTCATGTGGAGGTCGGATAACGCTCTTCTCCCAATGACAATCGATGCATGTTTGATGATCTTCCTGCAAAAGCTCAAACTTTGATTATCTATCTGCTTTTACCAGACCGTGAAAGAAATGATGAGCACAAAACTGGCCGAAGACATTAGACACCGAATCACGGACACCATGACGCATTCTCGAGATTATTATGGCTCAAGGTACCATGTACCCATTAAAACTGGAACGACAAGCCTATCCGTGTTGGCCGCCAATGGAGATGCAGTTTCACTTACAAGCACCGTAAATGGATAGTAAGTAACTAGAGTTTGAATTCAAGGAACAGTTTGTTGCTTTCTTGGTTCTTTTCTTCTAATTATAATTGTTGTTACCAGCAGCGAATCCTAACCCCCTTACTATTTTGCACCGTTCGTTACCAATTAAAACTGGCAAATATCCGAGAATCCGCTTCAGGAAAGTTTTTGCTTCTCTAAAAAGGGATTGTTAGTGGACAGATATCGGGGAAAAATCCAAATCGTGTAAAATTAACACATTTAAACCAGCAGCGACCGTAGGATATACCAAAATGTACCTCTCCATATGTCAGAGCAGTAATCGTCCTTAATGCCAAAAAAAAAAAAAATTTGGGCTCATGGAATAAAAATAGGATGTCGCAGGTACAGAATAAGCACAAGAGTGACAGACATGATGCGCCAGTTCTTAGCTATCAAAAAACGGGCAGTAGCTGACAAAATCTTCAAATAAAATAATCAACTAATGCAGCGCTAGCTACTTGATTTTACAGAATGCGCATGAGAGTGACATATATGGCGGTGCTTGTTCTTAATCGTCAACAAAACGGGCAGTCGTGCCAACAGAACTTCAGTAGCTGACGTAATTTCAACTGAAATTAACCATTGGAGCGCCAGCTCCTTGAGTTTGAGGATATTATTGACATTTCCGTCCGTCTTTTGTTTTGTTGCAGTTTTGGAGCCAAGTTTCTCTCAAACAAGCTTGGCTTCGTCTACAACAATGAAATGGACGACTTCAGCGCACCACACGTGACAAATGAATTCGGACTTCCGCCATCTCCTGTCAATTTCATAAAACCTGGCAAGAGACCGCAGTCCTCGGCCGTGCCCGCGATAGTACTGGACAAAAAGGGAAATGTCTTAATGACAATTGGTGCTGCTGGGGGTACCATTATAACAACTTCTGTTGCACAGGTAAACTTTATTTGAGATCCAATGAAATACCGTGTATAGAAATTTTTATCACCTGTTAAGTAGCCATGGCGGGGTGGGTTACAACTATGACTGCGTATTTGAAACGTTGTGCATGTTTATAGCTTGTCCAATACATTACAATACAATACAATGTTTTTTATTTCGAGAGGATAGATACATGATTAACCCAGTAAAGAGTTTTCTAACACATAGCACTCTAATAAACCCACCCAACCCACCCCAGGGGAGGACATCCATCACACAGTAATCTCGTGCGTGTGAAATTAACGTCTCCTGCCTCTAGCCCTGCAGGAGACGGGACCTCCATTTATTCGTCCCTATCCGAGAAGACTAGAATATCTAACCATTTCTTGATGTTATAGAAAGGCAGCAAATTCTT